TAGCCGAGCTCCAAGGGCTCCAATGGCGGACGGCGATCGGGCGGTGGTGATGCGTGCGGCGCATCCGACGGCCCACGTGCGGTAGCGTAGGTGCGGCGCAAGGGGGGAACAAGGTCATGCTTCTTGCGTGACCCCCTGGCCCATGCCTGCCACGCTGGTCGGGGCTCGGTCGGGAGGAGAGACTGGCGTGGAGAGGAAGAAGGCCATGTTGCTGGGGTGGCTGACGCATGGGGTCCGTTTGGCAGCGGGTGCGGCTCAGACGCGTCGCGACGCAGTGAAGCGGTACGGGCTGGCAGGTGGGACCCAGCGGTCAGCGTCTGCGCGTGCGTGGGTGGCGAGGCGAAGCTGGGCCGGCTTCGTGGGCCGCGTGCGTGAGTGGGAGGGCAGGCAGGCTGGCTAGGCTAGCGGGGCCGGTCGAGGCAGGCTGAGCTGAGCTGCTGCCTTCCTCTTTTCTTTTCCATTCTCTTTTTCTTTTGTTTTTCTTTTCTTTATTTGCTTCAAATTGATTTGGAGTTTGAACAATATGGCTTCACACACTTATACATGGCATATGTAACTTGTCCAAGGGTTTGAATGGTGGCCTAGACTCATCCCATATATTTGGGATTTATTGACTATTTTTGCTATACCGAAATTAGTTATAGTTTTCTATTTTATGTATTTTATCCTTTGAGTTGAGTATTAATTGTTTGAAGGTTTATTAATTATTAAAGGAGTTAGTCAAGCATCACATAAAGCAATGAAAATCCAAATCACATGTTACAATAATAATTATGCATGCAAGGTTTTACGTGTTGGGGATTTAAACACTCATATATGACTTGTGTCATGATATGGTTATGAAAATGACTACTTAGGTTATACTTACATGCAATACTTTGGGTTGGCTCCTACACATGACACTCAACATTGTATGGGGTTTAAACAAAAAAAATTCAATTGGGATTTTTGGTGTGTGGATTTTTGGGTTGTTACATTACTGTAATCTCGTAAATTCAAATAGTAATTATCGTAACTCAAAGTATCCACACTCAACCATGCATTTGGTAAATAATGGCTCTTGTTGTGAGCTCATTATCCTAAACACTACTGAATTTTTGTACCTACAATGATGATTGTTTGGTATAACAAGAATTTAGTTACATATTCGAAAGGATAAATGGAATCTATGAGTATGACATCAAGGCCATAGCAGGACCATTGTTAGTGAATTGCTATTTGCCAACTTCGTGTTGGGGTCAGGTAGATTTACACACTCTTGATTTGAGATTAACTGCATATTCCCCATATGCATTTAGTATGTGGGAATCCAAGAAGATTTCCTATTTGTGTACGATTGAGTACGTTGTATACGTACCAATCTCACCACCACAGCATACATTGATGGGTATAAACAGAAAACTAGGGATCAATGTGAGATTTCAATCTCCGTCGATTGTTAAGTATTTAGATATCTTATGGAGGATCTATTTACAACCCATATGCTGGTTTTATTTTGATAATGAGCATTTCCAGGCATTAGGGGGAGATTTGATGTACCATACATAATGCTAGGAAATTATTTGAAATGCATAAGGCATTTCAAGCTTAGGATTACGTATTAAATGTTGAGTTCAAAGAATTGTTGATTTGCATAATATTACAAATAAACTGTCAAATGCATTTACTGATTACTAAGGTGTCTTATAAACTTTTTAATCTGTTGCAAGTATATGCCAGAAAGAGTGGTGGTACCAAGTAAACCCACTCAACTCCCAACTGTAAATAAAAGGGGGATAAGTATGGCCATAAAGCAGGATTATTCATGCTAGCAATAGAAGGTTTCCTTCTAATAATAAGTAAATGCAAGTCAACCTATGGTTGGCGACACCTTGTGGGTACATATTGGTTATTACCTAGTGGATGGATGTCATCCACAAACCTAGCTCAGAGGTGCAACCTAAATGCTGATGCTAGGATATCGGGAAGCCCTAACTCTCGTTTAGAGAAGTCACGATGAGTCATTCAGGGTACTTTGAGTTTTGATAGATCGAAGAATTATATCATAGAAAGGCTACATGTGTTGACATGTACTTCTCTGAATAAACTGTATACAACATTCCAAGTCATCCAGTCAATAAGACCATGGTTGAGTGCTTTGCTCACTCTTATTGGAACTTGTTGAGTGATGTAATATATGTAGAGATAGTCTTGCTCACCAGAAAAGTGGTGTTTTGGGCTGTGATGCCAACACCTCATGGTACCTTTACTGTGGGTACAAAAGTGTTTTCGTCCTAGAATGGATTGAGAACGATGTGGTGGTTAGATCAAAGCAAGACTAGTAGCACAAGGGGTTTACGCAAAGCTCAGGGATTGATTTTCAATGTAAATTATTCTCTATAATAAGTTATAAATTTTTGATACTATCTTTTGATTAGCAGTACAAAAGCATTTATCGTTACAGTTGATAGTTGATAGATATAGTGATTGCATATATTTATATGATCACTTGATTTGGTGTATTTGTGAAGCTTCCAGGAAGGAGTTCACATACCCAACCCTCATACATAAAATCGCAACACATATTGTGTATTGCTTAAATCAATATATGGCTTAAAGCAGTTAAGTCAAATTTGGTACAATCAACTTTGTGTATTTCCTAAACTGAAGGGATACAAGATTGATTACACGTGGTGTTTATTTTAAAGTCCTTGATTGGATTTCATAGTGTTATATGATAGTCAATAATTTTGACATCATTTGTGATGAACACATGTTAATAGCATGTTGTAATCTAAAGACAGAGTTTGAGATGGAAGATACAGACTAAACAAAAAAATCATTTTGTGTTTATAATCCAAGCATCTTTTCTCAGGATTTTGTACAAAAAGCTATCTATACCCAGATCATATCGAGTGATTCAATATGAAGGTATCCTATGGTTGTTCTACCTCATGATAGAGGAAGATTATTTTATGCCATAGTGACTGAGATGAGATATTGGGACATATGGTCCATTATCTCTGTGCTATTTATGCGCTAATAAATCTTGCAAAAGTTCCCGGCCGGATATTATTTTTGCAATGATTTGCTATATAGTAGCAGCGCTACTCCTACCAAATGTTGGTGGATTGAAGTTAATAATATCTTTTGATATCTTAAATAGCACATGTGGTCCTGGTGTAATCCATGATCCGATTATGTGGATATAATGATTATGGTTATCTATAAGATCCCCAAATTCCATATCATTGAAATAGGCTTTACATGAATATGGAAAGACCATTTTATGATAGTCTTTAAATATACATTTAATGGTCAATTCCATTAATCATTCTGACATTGTATTGTACAAGTCTTCATATGAATGTGTATAGCTTGACAGGATGATATATCATATACTGAAGTTATGTGGTGTTGATTCTATGAATCAATAGTCATTATTTATAAAGGTAATACAACTTGTGTTGTGTAGATGGAGACAAGTTATACTTAATGTAATATTTTTGCACTAAAATGGTTCAGTTCCATAGGTAATATGGGCTTATGAACATTTGCAAACTAAGTCTTGTGATAATCACGCAGAGATATTCACAAAGTCTACCATACTCCACATTTCTTATGTGTTGAGTGCATTGATATGAATTTACTTCAAGGTTTGCTAGTATCAGGGGGAGAGTCTATCTGATTAATAACTTGTTACAATCATCATATTGCACTCTTTTCTTTGTATGAGTTTTTTCCTTTGGGTTTCTCATATAAAGTTTTTAATGAGGCAATATCAATACAAGATTATGTCATATCATCCAGTTTTTCCTATAGGGGTTTTTGGTGGATGATATTGGGACATAAGATGCATTGTACTATTTTCTTTATGTGAGTTTTCCATTTATGGTTTCTCATATAAAGTTTTTGATGAGGCAATGTCAACACAAAGATATATGCTATATCATCTAGTTTTCCCCACCGGGGTTTTTGGAAGATGATATTTGAAGCATATTGACCCTATGGTCAAGGTGTTTTTAGACTAAGGCTTTGGGTTTATCTCAAAGGGTCTAATAACATTGTGATTGTATATCATGGTATTTCTCCTTATTTTCCCACTAGGTTTTAAAGAGTTTTGCCGAGTATACCGGTATTACTTTGGTTTTTCCCATAGGGTTTTTCAAAGATTCATACAAATGCATAATAGATGAACAATAAAGACTACAAGGACCTAATTGATCAAGGGGGGGTGTTGAGAATTATTATTTAGTGCTCAATTAGGGATTATTCTAAGGGGTGTTTTTTTTACCCCTCTCTCTCTCTCTCTTTCACACTTGTAACCGCGCACATAGGCCCTGTATATATATGTACACACTGTTCATTAGGAATACAACCAGAGATCATTTGCATCCCTCTCGCTTGTCTCTCATTCTCTGCATTCTAACAGGGACGATAGATTATGGATGCCTTTACTAGGGCACTGGGCCAATAGGCCTATCTATAAGGAGCTACTACGTACGTAGGAAAGGGAATGAAGAGAGAGAAAATAACATCTTCAGATATGACGAGAGTCGATAGGCGTGTCTTTCTAGACTATGTGGGATCTACCCTTTCTTAAATTTTTTCAGTCTTTCTCCTCCTTTGCTCCAAGGCCATGGAGGCTATTGTTGCCTGCTATAGTAATATGACTCATCTTCAGGAATCGAAACTGCTACTGTTATTTGGCCTATGTTGATGCTTATGCTGATTTGTTGTGAGAGGAAAACATTGTTCTTTCGCTGAAAAGTACTACTGAAGTAGTTCAAACGAACAGGGCCTAGATGAGGAAGCACATGGCACGCTTGTCGACACGGCGGAGCAGAACTACAATTGCACTCCTGCGCAGCGGTGTGACAGAGCACGGGCGTGGCCACCGTTGTGACACAACATGAGCCATGAGGGAGATCTCCACCCATACCTCGGAGTGGAAGGTTTGCCGTGGGCGAGGAGGAGGCATGTCTGGCTAGCGAGGAGACGCGGCTGGCCGAGGAGGAAGCATGCCCATTGAGGAGGAGGAGGAGGCATGGCCATTGGGTGTGGAGGAGCAATCATCGCACGAGGATGATGCCGTGAAGATGGGCATAGGAAGAAGAAATAGGAAAGGTAAGGATAATATATATATATATAATGAATTGTGATGTGGGTCTTTAAACTTTCCTCCCTCTTCGCACTTGGGTTCATGAACTCTTTTTTGCTCATCTAGGTCCATGAACTATGCTTGCGTCCTAGCCACCATCCAAAGCAGGTCACATAGGACTATCATCTGTGTCTCAACCTTTGTGTGAGCAACTACCAAATTCATGGCTCACAAACGAACTCTGAAACGATGATAGGCTCAACTCATCTTGTATGTTACAATGTTCTTGTCTATAAGACATAAAGTACTCGCGACAAACCAGAGTGGCAACTTACCTCATAAATGACCACAACACAAAGGTTCATGGCATCATTGTGGCCTTCACCACACGTCTAACCATCCCTATTGTGATCTTGTGCCTTGGCGACGACTTATGGGCTGGTGCGTTCACATAACTTCTCCAACGCCTTCTTGTTGTAGATGCTCACAAACCAGTGGTAGCATGCTAGATAGAGTAGGCACCTTATTAGTTTTGTAGATTGGGAGGCGTGGTTTGAAAATCAAGACTTATATGTCAGTTGACATCATGTTTGTCTTTGCTTTCAAATGAGATATATCTCTATGCATGTACATATAGCATAGGTTTGGTTTAGGGACAAGGTGGTATGGATGGGATCATTCTTGTTTTTCTCTAGATGGGACCACCCTTGTTAGTGTTTGGATGAAAAGATCTTTATTTCTGTTTTGGCTGAGGTGATTGAGTGCAATAGAGGGATGGCAGTTTTAACATTCTTAGTTACACTATTGTGGGTGACATCTGTCATAGTAGGCCCTACTGGAGAGACTTTCAAGTACATCACCTTTCTCTCCTCTTTTTTTCCCCCTGCTACAACGTCGCTTGCCCTTGCCTGCATCGTCCGCATCCTATGTCAGTGCTTCGATCAACACTTACCGCCGCCCCAACCTTAGCCCTTGTTTGCACAAACACATGCCTCGCTTGCGCCAAAGTCGCCCTCATCAACCCACGTGTGGTGTGGGGAGCTCCAAATCTCCCGCATATCACCGTCGCCATTATCTACTGGAGCTTGAGGTCTCCTGTGCCATCGCATCCGCCCTAGACCCCACGTAACTCAGGCTCAAGGTTGTTGGTGTTAGACACACTCGTCGCTCGAGCCCAAGACAAGCTTGCCGGCGCTGCCCTCACTAGTGTCACCCGAAGTTCGTGTCTAAGCTTGGCGATGCTGCCCTCCCATGTCCTCTCCATGTCATCTGCAACTCGCACATCTCAAAGTCAGAGGACACAGCGTGAAGCAGGGATTATCCACTCGATTTGGAGGGATGAGCTCACCCTATACATTTTGCCATTATTCACACGGGGATGGATCCATCCACATCCTCTTGGACCAAACCCTATGCAAAATAGTATTGACCTATTTTGTCCTCGTTTGTCCCAACAACCAAACATATAGATAGTGGTCATATGTGGAGCTCCAAGGTTCTTACGATTGAATCCAAATAGAAATAGATGTGCACTTTGTCGAGTTTTTGTCCAAGGTTTTGATGCGAATCATGAAGAGGGGTTCTAGAAACGGATGGACAAAAAAACAATTTCTCCCTTTTCTGTTTGATTATAAGTGGATTGGAGCTCCAAGGCTATCCTTGTAGGATTTGTGTTTGAATCCGAATATTTGATGTGAATCCTGAAGGAGCCTTCAACCATTGACGGAGAAGAAACCTTTTTAGGTAGAGATAGAGACGGAAGTAAATATACAAAATATCACATAATTTTTTTGAATGATTATTAGTAATGAACTGGTTCTTTCTCACAAATTTAACATAGCTTATTACAAAACTATTATTAGAGCTATTTTTATCGATTATTATTTTTAAATAGTTTCAGCACCAGAAAAACTGCTCCATATAAAAAAATTGGGCTGCCAAACTACAAGAACGAAGGTCTGACCCACGTCCAACGCCCCAAGTCGGACGCTCCCTTCGCGCTACCACAGCCAATCAGAACGAAGGAAATTCCCACCCACGGATCGCCCCCCACGATCCGCGTGCCTCCCACCAAACGCAATTGCAACCATCCATCTGCCACAGATCCAACGCTCCAAACCGCCCTGCTCCTCCCGAAAACGAAACCCGCCGGCCGCCGCCGCCGAAAACACAAAATTTTCCCAGCCTCCCGCCCACCTGCAGCTTACATAAACACCTCCCCCCTCTCCACTCTGTACTCACTTCAATCCCCGAATCCTTTGCAACTTCGCGCCCTCCGCTCCCCGCTCCCGCAGCAAACCCTAGCCCCCGCTCCCGATGGCCCGCACGAAGCAGACGGCGAGGAAGTCCACCGGCGGCAAGGCGCCCCGCAAGCAGCTGGCGACCAAGGCGGCGCGCAAGTCGGCCCCAGCGACCGGCGGCGTGAAGAAGCCCCACCGCTTCCGCCCCGGCACCGTCGCGCTCCGCGAGATCCGCAAGTACCAGAAGAGCACGGAGCTGCTGATCCGCAAGCTCCCCTTCCAGCGGCTCGTGCGGGAGATCGCGCAGGACTTCAAGACCGACCTCCGCTTCCAGAGCTCCGCCGTCTCCGCGCTGCAGGAGGCCGCCGAGGCCTACCTCGTCGGGCTCTTCGAGGACACCAACCTCTGCGCCATCCACGCCAAGCGCGTCACCATCATGCCCAAGGACATCCAGCTTGCGCGTCGCATCCGTGGCGAGAGGGCCTAGAGGCTAGATGTCATGGTCCGTCGTCATTCGTAGTGCCTGCCTCATCTTCTGATATGTAGAGATGTGCTCTCTAGTAGCATGTGTTATGTCGTGGACTCGTGGTGTGGCATGGTGAGGTAGTGGTTTCCTTGTTTGTGATGTCCAGATGAGGTGTCTGATGTTGCTATCTCATTTTCACCAGCAATGGAAAAATTGGTTATCTTAACCTGTTTGTTTGGGCCTTTGTGCGTGTATTTAATTTCAGTGAATGCTCAGTATTTACAGGTTGAATCGTGTGTTGCTGGTTTTTGTTAATTTTTCAGTTTGGGGGTGTTGAATTTCAAGTTAATGTTAAAATTAGAGGTACTGGTTCTTGATATTGTAACTGTCAAGGTCATGAACTTCCAGCCATTAGGATGCCCTATTTGATGTAAATGGTCAAAAGGATCACATTTTCTCATTTGTGCCATGTTCAGAACTTTAGATGTGTAATGTTGGAGGTACTTTGTGGCTGCATGATCTTAAATTTGTGCTTTCAATGTTCATCCGTCTTTTTCAGCCGAAATAATGTTTTTCTTTTATAATAAATTAGTTGGAATAATATTCTGGTTTTTTTTCAGCGAAGGGACGGGGCCATTGGTTCATATTTGTGCCACAGCCTCTGATTTCAATTAACTTTCCCCTAATTTAACCATTCTGAGTATTCCTGTATCAGGCAGCCTATGTGAAATTGTTTCATATTTTTAGGCCAAGTGATTAATAGATTCTGTCAGGTTAAATCCATTTCAAATTGAAGCCACTGCTGATCTCAACAAACCTTGGTTGGCAGTCGGCAGTTCCTTTAGCTGCTGATCTGCTGTTTGTGCTTAAGGCTTCTTTGTAAGTGTGAGGAACGCCCTAGGCTCTGACTGTTTAAATACTGCAATTGCTTGTTGGAAATTATTCATGCAATTTGTGTTCCTTTCCGTTATGACATGATTTCTTTCTTAATTTATCTTTTTTTTAGAATTTCTTAATTTATCTTTGGATAGCTAAAATATCAAGAGCAAGATGCTAGCTGAGGCACTTGAACGTTGAGTGGACAGGAATGTGTGGAACCTCGTTTCGAAATAATGTTTCCGGTCCATTATGCACATAATGGCTATGTTTGTTTGTCTTATAATTCGTACTTTTTCAACTTGTTTTTTTAGAGCGCGTTTAGATATAAAGTTTTTTGGGTTTTGGCTACTGTAGCACTTTCGTTTGTATTTGGCAATTAGTGTCTAATAATGGACTAATTAGGTTCGAAAGTTTTGTCTCGCGATTTCTCACCCAACTGTGCAGTGAAGTGAATGGGGCCAATGTCTCACATCCTGGGACGTTCTTTATTTGCTTTGGAGGTTAAGTGTGTATTTTCCTTGCAGTGGCACGAAAGCATGTATGTCCTATGCAGCAATATATGTTAGAGTACTCCATTTAATCCTTCAATCATAAAATGAAGCTTTTATTCTTCGTTTATATATCAAATTCCATCAAAATGCACATAACCATCCCTTTGTCTGTTTAAGAAAGTGTCTAGTTTTACTCCTTTGATTTGCTTATGTGCCAAAGAATTTTTAGTTCAGCAAATAAGTTCAGAAAATCACATCATATTTGTAGACCAAGGCAGTACTTTTGTTCGGATCAGAAATATACATGATACGAATTAGATAACTCTGGATGAGTACGAAGGGACGAAAACGGCGACCAGAGGGGGTGGTGAATGGGAGGCTCAAATTTCTTCAGAAATATTCACCACTGTCCTAAAATCACCACCAAGAACAAGACACGGCAATCGTTCCCAAAATGAAAATACCCAAGCCAACCGGTGACAACCGGTGACAAGAGTAGCTAGATAGGTTCGTTGGAACGGTAGAAAGCAATGCAAATGACGGAACGAGAATCAGAACGCAAACACGGAAGATACCAACGAAACAGCTTGCTGGACCGGAAATTCCAAGAGCTAGAATCAGAAAATCAGTCTTCACAAGGCAACGCACAGCACAGGAAGGATATGCTGCTTCTGCACAAAAAGCTTGGCCGATTTGCCTGGATGGCCTCACCGATCAGCAGGCTTGGCCGAGCAGCCTTGCTGCTGCAACGCAACGCACACACCAGAGAGAGGTACAGATGGAGATAAGCTCTCAACCATGCATATTACTCTAATCAAAATGAAGTAATTTAACACTTCCAGTAAATAGCCAATGGTTGAGTTGATATTTCACGGATGCATCAAGGAAGCTTTTGACCAACCAAAATCAAGCACAGACCGTACATGCACAGCGACAAGGGGCTACTCTCCGACTTGCTCCAGAAAGGAAGCACGCACGGGAACGTTTGAGAAAATTCCTTGGTTGCCACTGTAACGTATAGCAATCCTTTAATTGCCATCCAAAAATACCTCTTTCCTTCGTTGCCATTCGTTTACGTTTCTGCTTCCCCTGGTTGCCATTCTGTCAAATTTCTAGATCACGGTGTCAAATTCCCTCTCCCCCACTCAATGACATGCGGGCCCACACGATCATCCCCTTCCTCCCACATCTTCTCACCTTCTCCTCCTTGTGTGGTGGCGGCTCAAAGCGACCGGAGTGGAGCTCATGCTGCGCTCCCTGCCGCGTTCACCGGCGAGGGCAGGGATGGCCCAGCCGGCCCAGCCGCAACCTAGAGCGTGATCTACGTGGGTGAAGGCCGGGCGGCACCGGCGGCGCTGGGAGCTCCTGTGGTCGACGGCGAGGCGCGGCCGCGGATCCGCCTCGCCGACTCCTCTTCTCCCCCACGCCCAACACCAGGGAGCCGCCGCCGCCGGTGGGAGTCAGGCAAGTGGCCGACGAAGGGCGGCGCAAGGCGCGAGGCCGTGGGGCCGCACAGAAGGGCGCGGAGCCGGTGGGGCCACGGCGGCCGGTGCGGCGGCTCTCGTGGAGACGCGGAGGCGCACGATTCTTCGGCGCGGGTGGCTGCAGCAGGGCGTGCGGGGACAACGGGAGTTGGCCAGCTACGGCCTGGCTTCTGCAGCGCCGGATCGCGCAGAGAGCGCAAGATCGCGCAGTCGGCGCGCGGGGCGATCGCCATGGTGGCTGGCCAGCCAGCGACACGCAAGGACGCGTGGAGGCGACGCCCGAGGGGAGGTACAAGCTGCAGAAGGGCGACGACGAGGCGGCATGCATCTTCCCACGAGCGAGCGTCTACGGACCCACGATGAGGACGCAGACGGTGGTGGCCGCGGCATCGACGGCGGTGGCCAAGGCCCCTGCAACCGCGGGGCATCGGACGTGGGTGAGGACACGGGCGGCGGCGGCCGCGACGTCGCCGACGGTGACTGTGGTGGCTCGGAGCAGCCTAGGCGGACTTACTGCGGCCAAGGGGCTTTTCTAGCGCATTGCCATGCTGGCTCGCCGCAGCTGTGGGCAGATCCCGATGCGTGTGCGGGAGTTCGGCGAGCCCTTTGCCGCCCTCGTTGTCAGGAGCCTCCACGCGGCACCGAACGTGATGCCGCGGGCGCAGATTTCCCTGCCGTCGGCTCTGATTCGTGAGGGGTCGGGGACTAACGGTGGTGCCTACAACCGATTGACTGGGTAGTTGACGTCGTTACGTATGAATGGACGGGAATGGCAACCAAGGGAAGAAAAAATCTAAATGGATGGCAATCAAGGGATAATATATTTTTGGATGGTAATGAAGGGATGGTTATAGTTTTAAGTGGCAACGAAGGAATTTTCTCAACGTGCAAAGCTACTCACGGCCTGGATGAACGCAAGCAGACAAGAGACGGACTAGGCAGCAGCGCGGGTATGCACACGCTCGCCCAAGGACGCTCAACAAACACAGAGAGCAGAGGCGAATGAACAGAAAAGGAGACGGCCACAAAATCGACAAAAACTCGATCAAATCAAAGCGATCCGTTCACAAAATTTGCACAGATGAAATTCAACTAGGAACAAACCAATCCCCAAGAAGTCATCGACTGGGATTGACTCAAACTCCGGAAAAATCAGATCGTAGCAAAGAACGTAAATGAGGAAAAACGAACAACACACCAGCCCGAAAATCAAAGACACAAGTGATGAATCCTAGAGGATAAGAGGAGGATTCGTGTCTCCATTCCCACATAAATTGTAGGTTCACAAACTCAGATTACATGAACACGAGATGAATCATCCGAGAACCTCTAAAGCAAAACCTAGAGAGAGTGTTCCGTGAAATAAAAAAGCTGAAGAGGTGAGGGCTCTTGGGGCAGCCCTCTTCCTTCTTACTAAGGCTATTACACATTCCTAAGATGTCCCTAGATATTTTGAGCTGAATCACTGGACTCCGAGGGCGTTATGCTCCAACCTGAGATAGAAGCATCCGACGCCCACACGCCTTTCATGAGATAGCTTCACCTCGACGCGAACTCCTCGATGACTCCACGTGCCGCCTCCGATTCCCACCGGAGCTGCACCCGGATTTTGAGGCCCAAATCCGGAAACCATCCATCAATGGTTTTGAGGCTCAACTCACCAAACCGCTCGCAAGTAGCGTACTCCATACGCGTCCCCCGCCACTCAACGCGTGTCACCGCCGTCCTCGACCGCTAAGTCTTCCAGAGCCTCTGCTCGACTTGCTCGACCGCCGTTTTGACTCGGTCAACACGGTCACTCCCATGTACACTTGCACTTGTCGATGTCCCCAGATGTCAGCCATCGTGACTGGTCACCCGGCCTCTTGATCCCTCGGTCCAAGCCTCACGTCCGTCCTTCACCACTCCTAGTCCATCGACACGGCACGTCCCTACTTAACCTTCACCTCGCTGTCGACCACCGCCTCCGAGCTCCACACCTGCGTACCATGAGCCAAGAGACATGTCGCACAACCCAACTCACGCCATGGTTAGTTCACAAACTCAATCCAAGACGTGAATCATGTTGACAATCACTCATTACAAAATGAACCACAAGAGCACATATCAACCTTGTGTTCGCAATCTCCCCCTTGATAAGTGCATTGTCAACACCAACACATGAACA